AATAGCTGAGAGAAGGAACAATCCTCAAGGAGTTGACCACACCACAAATGCATCTACAGCAGAGCATCCTCCTGCCACAGAATGTGTGTGGCCACATCTGTGTGGGAACACAAGGTTCTGAGCTCTGCACAGACATGGAGCTGATTTCCCCCCTCGTTTGTTTTCAGATGTAAATGTGTTCAAGGTCTCACAATTGGATCATTAGCACTTGCTCAGGCGGAACCCCACTGAAACCGAGGGGCTTGAGTGTAATGAGGAGTGACTTTGTGGAAGAACAACACTTGTTAGCCCTGTTCAGTTAGAGGAGACCCTCTCACGGAGGCTCTTGCACGGTACTTCATATTTCTTTCCCAACTAAGAGCATTAGCGAATTAGTGACACAGAATGAGCCGGGAAACTTACAGTGGCATCTTCAGAACAGGAAGCGATTACAAAGTCATCAAAAGGGCTCCACTTGATGTCCAGGACATTTCCTCTGTGCCCGCACACCCTGGGGTAGTGAGGATCAAGCTTGCCTGTCTGAAAAGAACAGCAAGTCTCTGTTAGCGCAGAAAGGCTACATTTGGCCACAGAACAGCAGGAGGTCTCCATGCAGGCTGGCCCCACAAGACCTGAGCTAAGCTCTTTGGCACCCCACATAGCAAGATCCACAGTGCTCAGTTTACTGGACATGGGTCCATGCTCGCCCTTAAAGCCATGTCCTCCTTAGCTCAGGCCAGGCCTACACGACATACTTACTGCAGTATAACTACTTCGCTCAGGGATGTGAAAAATCCACACTCCTGAGTGACGTAGTTATACCGACCTTAACCCCCCCATGTAGGCAGTGCTATGTTGACGGGAGAGCTTTTCCTGCTGACATAGCTACTGCCTCTCACGGAGGTGGAGTTATTAAGCCGATGGAGAACTTAGAGCATCTTCACCACAAGTACTACAGCGGCACAGCTGCATCGATACAGACCTGCTGTTCGTCTTTGCCTTGCCACACTCCCCCGAGCGCCTACAGGAGAAAAGCCTTGTGATGACTGAGTCCTGACAAGGAATAGGGCAGCATCCTGAAGCCACTGACCACGCCCCAGATGGTAATAATGAGTAAGGAGCAGCCCGATTCCTAGCTCTCATCACAAGGGGGCTGTAATTGACTGGAATGGGTTTGACTGCAGACAAAGGGCATCAGGAAGACACTACAGCTCAGTGCCAACCCTTGCTAATGGAAAACAGGAAAGTGAGTCAGTAGTGAACAGAAGAACGGCCATACTGGGTCACACCACTGGTCCATCTAGCCCAGTAGCTTGTCTTCCTACAGTGGCCAGTGCCAGAATCTTCAGAGAGCATGACCGAATGCACTCCTGTACGCACACCATACACACCACTGTAAAAATCTTTGTATAAAATATGCCTCATGAGGTATCATTTGAAAACAACGTGCGTCAATTATTGGATGGTACATTTATGTAGCAACATTATATGTAAAGTTATTAATTCCCTCTGTATGATGATGTTAGTACATGTTCAAACCCACCCAGCCCTGACTAGGTAAAAGCACAGGTCTCTCCTAAACAAAGGAGTGTGTATTTACCTCCGTTTACATACAAGTAGTAAGCAGAGTCCTTGAGACAGCAAGAGGGGCAAGTAGCAGGATCCAATGCAAATCTGCTTTTCACCATACACAGGGAGCCACCTTCACTCCCAGACTCCACATTGCTTCCTTACTTCTTGAACAAACTTTGCTTTGAGGGTAATCCTCGGGAGAATCCACTTCAAAGGAGGACTGGACTGTAAAAGTGAGGGGCAAGAACACCCCAATGTATCCCTCTCTACCCCTCTCTCTCTTTCACCTAACACGACAAAGGAACCAGCCCTTGGACTTTGGGAGTGAGCCTGGCCTGAAAATTTGGTCAGCAATGCTACTGGGAACCTGGGGTAAGGATTTTACCTTGAACCAAGTCTAGTTTGTTAAGTTTTAGTAACTAGGAAGCATTTTATCTTTATTTCTCTTGTAACCTGACTTTAATGCCTTATACTTGTATTCAATTAAGATCTAGTTCTTTGTAGTTAAATAAACTTGTTTTATTTTTTTAAATCTAAACTAATCCAGTGCTGCGTTTAAACAGAGCTGTTTGGGTAACTCCAGTTAAAGTCGCAAACTGTTGGATATTGACCCCTTACAGGAGCTATGGCCCTCTAATATCTGAACTGTCCAGCAAAGGGCTGGACACTGCAGAACACACGTTTTGGGGAAAATCTGGGACTAGGAATGTGGTGGAGTCACCCTGCAAGTGGGTAATCAAGGCTGCTGGAAGCCAGAGTATGGCTGGGGTGTTGCTGACCAGCTGCTCAGGTCAGAATTGCTGGACCAAGGACTGCAGCTATACACTGAGACTCAGGGGGTGACCTGCATGCTGTTTGGCAGTTTGTGCATTTCCCAGGTTGGGAACTACAGCAGCAAAGCACTGTGAGGCAGGTGGTGACAACCCCTCGCTGGTCTGGATTGCACCCTGGAATATGGCAGAGGGAATGAACAGAACAGGGCACTTATCAAGTCATTCATCCCCAGTTGTCCAGTTCCAGCTTCTGGCAGTCAGAGGTTTAGGGACACCCAGAGCCTGGTTTTGCATCCCAGACCATCTTGGCTAATAGCCATTGATGGACCTGTCCTCCATGAACTGATCTAGTTCTTGTTTGAACCAAGTTATACTTTTGGCCTTCACAACATCCCCTGGCAATGAGTTCCACAGCTTGACTGTGTGCTGTGTGATGAAGTGCTTCCTTATATTTATTTTAAAACTGCTGTCCAGGATGGGGGGGGGGGGCCACCGAGAGCAGCCCCCGGCCCATGTCTCCGCCCCTTAGGCTCTCCACCCTGGACAGTTGGAGGGTCTACAGCTGCCCGACCAGCTCTTACCATGGCCCGGCTGCGGCTCTTCAGCCCCCAAGACCCCACCCCCTGGCCAGGCTGGAAGCCGGAGCTAGGTCAGGGTAAAAGATCAGCAGGCAGCCATGGGGAGCCATGTGGAGGGTGAACGGCTCCGCAGAGCTGCCCTGGCTTCTTGGGCTGCTCTTACCTGGACTGGGCTCCAGCTTCCAGCCAGGCTGGTGGGTGGGGCCTCGAGGGGAAGAGGAGGGGCAGGGGGCTGTGCCTGTGGCAAAAAGTGGACAGTCTAGGCCCATCCACTTTCAAAAGTGGGAGGGCCATGGCCCCTTGGCTCCCTCTGTTCCGGCACCCCTGCACAGGCGCTGTGATGTGCTGTCCAGGCACCAAGAGCCCTCTCTTCTCATGCTAAAGTCTAAAGCAAGTTCAATAGAGGAATGCAGGACAGCTCTTAAGCATGTGCTTAACTCTCCTGAAGTGGGATCTAAATAAATAAATGTCAAATAATCCTCTCCTTTCTGTTGTCATGCTCTAGACCCTGATTCAGCAAACTCGGAAGCAAGAGTTTAGCTTTAAGAACATGAATAGTCCCACTAAAATCATGTGCTTAAAGCTAAGCATGTGCTTCAGTGCTCTGGAGGATCAGGGGCCTATAGTGCGCTGCATGACCAAGGAATCTCCTCTATTCTTTAATCAGGGATTAGTTCAAAGGCCGAAAAGGCTCCTTGTCTGTGAACAAAAGCTAGAACCATGTAATTACAGAGCTATTTGCGCTCTCCCGTCCTACGAATGATGGTTATTATTTATTATTGGTTTGCAGTTGCTCCCAGAGGCATGGAAGGCACCCAGACACCATGGTGATGAGCATCAGGATAAAAATGCAGACCCTTACTGTGCTAGGTGCTGTACAAACATGTAATAGATGGTCCCTGTCCCAGAGAGCCTCTGGCCCTACCATGCATTTTGAAAAACAGGCAGCTGCAATAACCAAGCCTTCCCATTGCCATTACAACCATCTGGGATCCCTGCTGCTCCACCTTCGCACTCCAGCAGGGGCGATCAGGAAAAGGGACAGCCCATGCTCCCTGGGCCCTGCTGGCCGTGCTCACCTGATGGATGGGTATCACGAGGAAAGCCCCGCCGCCTGCACACTCTGTCACGACAGCAATGAAGTGGGGGTTGACAGCGCAGAAGTGGTTGTCGTGCACACTGCAGGTGATGGGGACGCAGTCGTAGCACTTCTCCTTGCTAGCAGGCTTGCCGTACACATGGCGGAACTTGGAACTCCGGTACTGAGGGTGCCATGACATCTGCAGCAGTCAAAACACAAGACAGAGGATGAGGCAGGGACCATCCCCTTGCTATCGGACATTAGCGTGGGTTTGAAATTCAGCCCTACACCTCCCATTGACTCATGCTCCTTACACCTGCAGCGCAATCAGCCCCAGTACACATCTGTCTCCAGAACGCCGGGTCCTGCCCTGGGGGCAATGCACACACGCCCCTGGAGCTATTTCCCTCTCCTCTATTTTGTGACTTCCCCACATTTCCCCTTTCAGACCACTCATGGGCCCTTCTCCCTTTATCTTATCTCGCCCCACCCCGAAGCCCTTCCCAAGGCCACCAGTGCAGTCAGCCAAGCCCAGCCATGCAGCCACACCCTAAATCAAACTGCCAGCAGCTCAGCAGACACAGCATTGTCTCTCCTTCTGGAAAGAAGCCAGATCACTCCAATACTCACCTGTGATGGGACTGGCCACCTGAGAGCCCTTGCAGGGGCAAGAGATGCCAGGTGTTGTGTTCCTCCTATAACTAACACACACACACACACACACACACACACACTAAACTGCCTCTGCCGGGTTAGCCAGGTAGCGTACACCTGCAGAAGGAGTTCTGCCAGTGTAGGAATACCACTTCCCCAAACAACAGTAGCTCTGTCAACAGAAGCCCACTTCTGTCGGAATAGCTGTCTCTACACTGGGGGGGCTGTCGGCATGGCTATCACTAGGAAGAGTGGGGTTTTCACACTTGACTGACAGAGCAATGCCAGTTTAAGTTGTAAGTATAGCCCAGGCTTGAGAAAGTGCATGAACTGGCCATCCTGGACCCATGCGCTGCCAACTCCTTTCTTAGTTATGATGAGATAATTGGTTCTGTGGATGAGGGATTCCTTGACTTTAGCAAAGCTTTTGATACGGTCTCCCACAGTATTCTTACCAGCAAGTTAAAGAAGCATAGGCTGGATGAATGGACTGTAAGGTGGAGAGAAAGCTGGCTAGATTGTCAGGCTCAACGGGTAGTGATCAATGGCTCCATGTCTAATTGGCAGCTGGTATCAAGCGGAGTGCCCCAAGGGTC